TAAGGTTCTTTTGTTTGTATTCAAATGTCTTCATAGTCTCGCACCACAGTATCTGTCCGACCTTCTCCAGCCGTACATTCCCTCACACTCTCTTGGGTCAGCTGATCTGCTGCTGTTGGCCGTCCCAAAGTCCAGCAGAAGGCTGCGAGGTGACCGAGCGTTCTCAGTCGCTGCCCCTAAACTGTTGAACAAGCTGCCTTTGCACGTCAGACAAGCTGACTCACTTCCTGTTTTTAAATCTGCTCTGAAGACTAATTTTTTCTCTTTGGCTTTTAACGCAGCTTGAAATGTTGGCTTTACTGTTTTATGTTATTTGTTTTATAGTTGTTACTGTTTGTTGTTTTATTATTTGGTAGTTCATTACTTTTATGGTATTTGTTGAGTTCATGTTTTTTATGCTTGTATGTGTTAGTGTACAGCACTTTGGCCAACCGTGTTGTTTGAAAGTGCTTTATTTATAAAGTTGAATTGTATTATATTGTATTGTATTTCCTTATATTGGTTACATTTTGATATTCTAGAGGGCAGCATCAAAATGTCTTCCCATGCTTCAGAGTCGATTGTGATTGCGCTGTGTTCTATGTTAATCTTAAATTTTCCAGTCTATCTTTCTTTAAGGCTTGTAGTTCAGCATAGAATCTTGACACAAATCTTCCACATTTATGACAATCAAGAATTGTTTTTTTTTTCTAGTAAATAACATTCCCCTGAGAACTCTATTGAGTCCATTTTTACCTTGACATAATGCCTTAGCTGAAGATATTTATAAAAGTCTCTGGAAATAATGTTATATTGTGTTCTTAAGTCCTCAAATGTCTTTTCCATTATCCCATAGATCATGTATTCTGTTAATGCCAGCTTCTTGCCATGATCTAAGATTGGGACCAGCGCCCTCTACTGTCAAATCCGGATTGTCTACCAACGTTGTCAAAGATGAGAGCCTCTTATTCTGCCAAACAGTTTTCTCAGAATGCCCCATGCCTTAATAGTATTAGTAATCCCTGGGGTTGTTTGGACCCCCTGAGCTTGGCTCTTGGGTGCCATGGTTGGCCCGCTGGCCGGGGTGGCTGCCGGGGCCTGGCGGGCGGTCGGCTGGGGGTGCGTGCTTGGTTGTTGGCGGTGTGTGGGGGTGGTCGGTGGCGTGTCCTCTTCATGGTGGGGGGGTGTCCTGTCGGCGGGGCATGGCCTGGGCCGGGTCTGGGGTATTGGCTCTTCTCCGCTCAAGAATGAATGGGTTTACCTCTTGGGTTTGGGCATGGGCTGCCCCCTGTAGAGGGCGGGTACATGTCTTGGACCTGGGGGGTATAGAGTGTGTATCGGGAATAAGAATGAAATGTATCGTTATTGTATGTCTTTGAGTGAATGAATGTGAGATTGAGGTTGGGATTGTGTGATTGTGTCTGTGTATGAATGGATATTTGTTAGGCTGAGACTCGGACTGCCCCCTCTTTGATACAACTGGGGGTGCTTGGCATCGCGCCCCTATCGCGCGGCCCCCTGGTGGGGTGTGCCCTTGCCTGCCGGCGCGCTTGGGGCCCTTGGTATCGGGGGCTGGGCGCTTGGGCGTGTGTCGGCTCGGCCTGGTGTCTGCCTGGTGGGGCTCGGGTCCTCTGGCCCTGTCAGGCCTTGGCCTGGGTGGTGTGAGTCCTCGGTGCCCGGGCCTCGGTGCCTGGACCTGGACCTACATCGGTGCGGCGGGTGCCGACGGAGGCCTATGAGTTTGTCGCTGTTGGCCCCGGGGGGTCATTGTATGTGGTTGCTGGTGGGGATCTTCCGGTTCTCCCCTGTGGTCCGTTCTGGGGGGTGGGTGAGTGGTTCGTCCTGTGTGGGTGGCTCTGGGGGCTCCGCGGTCGGGGTCCCTCCTGGGGTCTTGGGCTCTGGTCCCCCCTTTTTCGTCTGCCTCTGGTCTTGGGGGTCGGGTCTCTGCTGCTTCACAGTTACTAATAAATGTTCTATTAGAGAAGCCTTATACACTTATGCATGCTCACAACCACACACAAATAGAAGCAGGGATGCTTATGTAGGCTTTATATGTAGATATATAGATATGTATGTGAGTGTATATTCATGTGTATGTATGTATGTATGTATATAGGCGTAGGTATGGGTATATATATTTATGGAAACTTACTGCAAAGCCATGAATATTTTAAGTTCTTTATACATATGTATTTTGTTGCTGTGTTTTGTCATGTTCTTTGCAGGTGAACAGACAGTGGCCGGGTGTTTTGACGTGTGCTCTATTTGTATATATTTCTTATATTTTGGAGTCTTACTTTGTCTTTTCTTTCTTTCTATCCTATTTAAAAAAAAAAAAAAAAAAAACTACACTAGATAGTCACTATAATAAATATTTCATAATAATGGTGTGGAGAGGATGGCTGTAAGGGGAGAAGGGAGGCCATCAAAAAAAAAAAAAATAGTATTAGTAATCAGAAAATTATATTTGACAAAAAATGGAAGTTCTCGTTTTTGTTTATTTAACAAATTTATCGGGTGATGGTGTTTACAAATGCTTTCCTCAATCTCAAGCCAAGGTTGAACAGGTTTTCTGGTAGCGCACAGTGAAATAATTCTTGCGTATAGAGACAATACATAGTTCTTAAACTTGGGTAGGCCCCATCCACCTAGGTTTTTGGGAAGTTGTAAAACTTCCATTTTAATTTTAGGTTTTCTGCCTGCCCAAATAAAGTCTGAGATGGCTTTATTAATCCCAGGTAAGTCTTTGGAACCAATAAACAAGAACAACACGGACACGAGGTACATTAATTTAGGGAGAATTATCATCTTAATTAAGTTGATCCTTCCCAGAAAGGATATGGGGAGCTTCTTCCACCTTGCTAACTTCTCTTTAATGCGAATGATCATAGGACTAATGTTTTCAGGGTATAGTTCACTAATTTTAGGTGTAATGCGTATTTCTAGATAATTTAATCCTGTGATAGCCCATCGAAATGGTTTGACGAATGCTGGTTCTCCGTGGTCACAGGCAATTAAAGGCATTATTTCTGATTTTTCATAATTTACTTTATACCCGGATATCTTACCAAATTCATTGACACAGTCAATTAGAGCTGGGATAGACTTTAAATCTGTCCAAGTCAAAAGAATATCATCAGCGTGTAATAATATTTTATGCTGTTTTTCCCCTATTAATATTCCTTTAATATTATCACTTTGTCTAATGGTAATTGCAAGTGGTTCTATAGCCAAGGAGAAGAGCATCAGGGAGAGAGGACTTCCCTGTGCTGTTCCTCTTCCCAATTTAAAAGATGCGGACAAAAGACCATTTGTCAAAACGGATGCTATAAGTTTTTTATAAAGAAGTTTTACCCAATTTATAAAATTGTCACCAAGTCCAAATCTTTTAAGTACTTCGAACATATACTTCAATTCGATACGGTCGAAGGCCTTTTCAGCATCCATTGAAACGATGATACCAGGTATTTGTGTATGGTTAAAATGCTGAATAATATTAATAAGTCGTCTAATATTATTTGATGACAGTCACTCCTTTATAAAACCAGCTTGGTCTATATTAACTATGTTAGTCACTACCTTTTCCAATCTAGTGGCCAAAATCTTAGATAAAATCTTCATGTCAACCCTGAGCAAACTAATTTGTCAGTACGATGAGCATTGTTCTGGGTCTTTATCTTTTTTTGGAATGACAATTATATTTGCCACATACATGGTATCAGGTAGTTTAGATTGTTCCAGAGATGTATTAAAGACTCCTCGTAGTAATGGACTAATATATATATATATATATATATATATATATATATATATATATATTTAATTCAATTGGATACCCATCAACACCTGGACATTTTCCCGATTGGAGTGAAGAAATGGCCGTTTCAATTTTTAGTATTGTTACAGGTCCTTCTAATAAGTTTGCCTGTCTTACTGACAATTGAGGTATATTTAAATTTTTCAGAAATTTATCTTCTAGTGCATCTTTTTTAGCTTCAGAAATATATAATTTTTCATAGAATTGTTTAAATCATTAATTTATATGTTTGTTATCCATACGTCAATGACCATTTTCATCCTGTATTGAAGATATAAAACTTGTGCCGGAGGAATTGTTCACTAGTCTTGCCAAAATTTATTTGGTTTATTGCCATGTTCAAAAAACGTTTGTTGCGCAAACAAAATATCCCTTTCATCCTTCTTTGTTATTATATCAGATAGTGAAGTCCTAGCTGTTTTTAGTTCCCCCAGAACTTTTAACAGATTTAGATACAAGATATTCCTCTTCAAGTTTGTTTTTAATTTTATTTTCAATTTAATTTTGTTCTGCTAGTTGCTCTTTTCTCTTACAACTAGAATATGATATTATTATCCCACGCATAAATGCTTTATAGGCATCCCATACAATTCTCGGATCAGTATTGTTATTGTCATCAATTTTTAAATAGAAGTCTGTCTGCTCTTCTAATAATTTGGTAAAATCTTCATTTAACAACAGCAGTCTATTTAATCTCCACGAGGTTGTGCGATCCAGTGGTCTGGGAGATTGCATCACTAGTATGATAGCATGACAGGTGCATGGTCAGAGAGGGCAAACGCCTTCCGGATGGAAGGTGAAACGTTTTAGCAAAACAAGAAACTGTCCAAATGACCTGACTGAAAATTGTTGGATTGTATACCTGGATTATTGAGCATGGGCTTCTTTGGTTTTGAACCAGTTTGACATGACTGTCCACAAGGAAGAGGGCCGGCATCGGAGGAGGGTGTGTGCCAAAGACACCATCTTAGCACCAACATAACTGGTTTGTTCCACTTTGGAGTAAGCTGTTTGGGGGAAGAAAAAGTTTTGTGTTGTGTGTTTCCTTGACTGATGAAGCCTTCCGGATGGAAGGTGAAACATTTTGCAAAAAAAGAAACTGTCCAGTTGACCTGACTGAAAATTGTTGGATTGTATACCTGGATTATTGAGCATGGACTTTTTTGGTATGATCCAGTGTAGTTAATGTTGTTTCATCCGTCAGGCGCTGATGTCCAAGTATGCAGACCCTGAGGGAGACTACCAGCTTGATGTTGATATCTCTGGGCTGATTTTTTCCCATCATCCTCTGTTCAGCCGTGAACATGTTCTGGCAGCTCGTCTGGCTCTGCTGTATGATCAGTACCTCATCAGGCAGCACAATAATCTCACAGGACACCTTTCTGAAAAGGTAAACCCCACTAGAGTCATGAGTGTAGGAAAACCAACATTAAAGCAACCTGTATTCACTTAAGTCATATCAAGATACTTGTACACTTAAAACATGTTCATAGTTTTGTTTTTCACACTTCTTTTCTGTTTTAGCTTAACGGTTTAAGGAATGCTTTGAGGAACATGATGACTGCCCACAGCGAGCAGGGTGTTGTTCAGGCCTTACATCAGAGGGTTTCAGAGTACAGTTTTGAAGTGAGGTAAATGTCTCCCATTTAGTCCATAAACATTATTGGCACCATGTTAAGCAGCTTTCATGCTGGTTGTTGTTTCCCTGAACATTACAGGAACACTCGGCAGCTGCGAGATGAAGAGCAGGAGAAAGACAGGACTCTCCTGAAGAACATGATTAAAGTTTGGAAGGAGATTAAGGCCCTGAGAGAGTTTCAGAAGTTTACCAACACACACTATAAACTCTATCTCAGAAGGTAACTGTTTTGTTTATAGACTTCTCCATTAAAAATGTTAAATTTTATTCACAATAAGTCTGACCGCAATTTAAGATTACACTGATTTGTTTTCCCAGTTTCCTAATATGTTGTTTGTCCTCTGTCTTAACAAATCTTTGCTGGTATATGTGTGTTATGCTAATTATTAGGCCCAAGCAGCGAAGTGCTGCGAAGGCCTATTGTAATCGCTCTGTTAATTAGGCCCGAGCAGCAATTTTTCCGTCAAGTGAATTGGCCTTTTGGGGGCCTTAACATATCCCAAAACTCATCAAATTTGGCAGACACATCAGGACTGCTGAAAAAGTACGTATTTTAAGGGCGTCGCAAAAATCGCAACAGTAACGACTCAAGAGCGCCATCTGGAAATTTTCAAAATACCCCATGCATTAACCTTAGTTTGTTGTAGAAGCATGAAATTTGGTACACTTGTCCAATTCCCCAAGATGCACAGAAAACCCTCTGGCACCAACGCTGGATGATAAACAGGAAGGCAGCCATTTAGGAATGCCATCCCAAATTTCACACCTTTTGGAGGTTTACAGCCTCCGCATTTGAACGAACTCCTCCTAGGGATTTCGCTCAATCGGTTTCAAACTTGGCCATTTTGATCAAAAGGCATGGGGGAAGAAAAGTTATCTAAACAATGCGTTTTGGAGCATGCTGAAGGGTTGTGGCGGACTTAGACATTTTGGGGCCCCAGGCAAACCTTTGTAAAGGGGCCCTCCCCCAAGTCAACCTAAATGACAAAATGTACCATTTTGTGATTTATATCACCATTCCTGAGATATAAATCTGCATCCATCTGGATTTCTAGGGAAGTCAATATCTAGCTGAACTGGGCCTTTTTGAACAATAGAGCATCGTTCTTTGTCATTCAAGTCTTTTGGCCATAGTGCTGGATCATCTGCCAAAACACGACCACCAGAGAGTGAAGGGACTTCTTGACTCACAGCAGGCAGGCTAAAAGGAAAAAGAAGACATTATTACATTTAATACATGTGAAGGCTCTCATTTATCCAAGTTTCTATAATTAAGACAGAAAGTTTTGACTTCTTTTTAAACCTTAAGACTTACACAGACTTTAAACTAAATGACTCAAATAATGTCACTTTTCATTTATATCAATTTTTACAATTTAGATAACAATTTAATTTAGTTATCCTAGCCTTTTGATTCTGTTGTTTTAAACTTAACAGTGGCATTAAACTAACAGTGGCATTTCTGTCCAAAGCAAACCAGTCATTATTAAAAAACACGTTTTTGCATTACTCTGAAAGCTATAAGTTCTTTTTCGTATAGGCTTCGCCCTTTAAGGCTGTCGCTTAGTGGGTTTATCCCGTTATGCGTAGCATTTGCACTGAAAAATTTAGTCCATGCCCACCTGCTGTGTGGGCCCCACCCGGTCCGTATAAATTACGTTAAGAGCGGGAAATCGGCTCCCATTTTTTCTTCAGCGAGCTAATAGCACTGTCAAAAGAACAAAGAAGGAAAATTGTGTAGATGACCAACCTTTGTTAAGAATGCTTGGCCCGGCAGTCGACCTCCGGTCGTCCGGTGAGTTCTCCTCCCCGAGGAGAAGCTGACGAGCAGTCTTGTTTCAAGGTAAGCGCCGAGGAACATTTCTCAGTGACAGGTCACTACACGCTGGACAACGCCATCTTGTAATTTTCCTCTTATCGCCGACCCTCGGAGCGAATCGGATGGTTCCTCCGGGACAGGCGCGCTCAGCTGCAGCCCCCGCTGCTCATTCCCTCCTGGGGAGCGTAGTGTCGGTGGAGGGGGGCTGAGTGAATGCTCACCCCATTCGACCTCTTTTCGCATCGGCGATCACACTGCTCCCGGCCGACGGCGCCCTCAGGGGTTGCTCGGCGTAACCCAGGAGGAGGCTGACATGAAAGGACCCTTTTTTACGTCCTACGCCTTTCCCGCCAGTTCGGATGATCTGGCGGGAAGGTTGTTTACTGGGCTCCATTCCGGCTCACCGTCTTGATCCATATGGCCTCGTGTTCCCAACAGGACGTCCTACGGGCGAGGCCACAAACGGGTTTTTTTCCTGGTAGATGGGGGGAGCCGGTCTTCACAGTCCGCACCCATCTCCAGAGCAGGGGTTCACTGAGCGGAAAGTCCCTCCGTGCCCCCTGGAGCCGAGCTTGATGGAGGCTTCATTGGAGTAAGATGTCGAGGTGGACCAGCGTCCCGTGCCTCCGGTTAGCATAACCGAGACGGTGACAACGCTCTCCAACTGAGCTCACCAGCATGTGTTCCACACGGCCGCAGCGAACAACACGTTACGCTGTTGGCGTACACGTTCAGAGGCGGGAAGAGACGGTGGCCCTTTGTCCTTTGGCCCACTCCGCTCTCGTAGCAGCTGCTTGCTAACGACGCTGCCAGCCCCTGCAGTACGCTCCGTCTACAGGGCAGCTGACGTCATCCTCAACCGGTGCGCCTCTTTTACTGTCTGCCGCCCCGCATCGCAGCCGGAGAACGAGGTCCCAGAAGTTCTCCTGGCTCGTCACTCCACCTTCTTCTCAGGAGAGTTGCAGGAGTTTTGTTGGAGATCCTTTTTTTCATCAGCGAGAGATCATTCCAAGATGCTCCACGGCTGCACAACGCCTCCCCAATTCTGTTACGCCAGCCCCTCCCGTCAGACGTCCCCGGCATCCGGAAGTTCATTTTGTTTTCCCGGACTTCGCCAACAGGGGGCCCTCCAGGACAACAAACAGAGCTCAACGGAAGGTAACCAGGTGTCGGGTTGCTGGAGGTGTGTTGATGACACTATGAAATAACATCATTTTATGATGAAGTGTCCTTTAGCCAGGCTGTCAGCATGGTTTATCTGACAAGCGGCCCCATCACACACACTCATCACGAATGAGCCTTTTTAAGGTTATTTTCATTCACTGTCAGCGGTGCCGATGCGCGCTCCCGCGGCATGAAAGCGCGCACGCAGCTCTCAGCGCCCGCCGTTCACGTCAACGTTAACGTGAGACCACGGTACGAGCTCAGCAATGTATCTCGCTCTCGGCAGAAACGGCACACGTTTTTTCATCGCAGTGGTGTCAAACGCGCGCTCCCGCGGCGTCAGCAGTTTCACAAGCCTCACAGCGGCTCTGCTCCTTCATCCTCGAAGAAGGTTTTCTGAATTAATACTGCAGCTCGTGGAATCACTCTGTAGTTCACATGACTTGCAGCCAAGAATGAATGTGTTTCTGCAGACCGAGCCAGTGGTAGCCTCGCTCCACCGATGCCGCGCTCTGCTTCCTGACCGCACCAGTGCCAACGCGCGCTCCCGCGGCATCAGCAGCTCCACAAGCCTTCACAGCGGCTCAGCTCATACATCCTCGAAGAAGACCGAGCCAGTGGTAACCTCGCTCCACCGATGTCGCGCGCTGCTTCCTGACCACACAGTGCCAACGCCCGCCCCCGCGGCATTCCTGGCTTAAGGCGTCGCATGAATGAGGACGCACACACACGACCCTTCAGGGCACGTCGGCTCATACGTGCACCCGCTTCCCGAGTGTTACACGGGGCAGCTGCACACAACGTGAGTACAACTCAGATGAGCTTGCGTGTTTTTCTCTCTCACTCAGCGCGCTCCAGTTCACATCAGCATGTATGCGAGTTTCACAGCATAAATGCGTGCCCGCTTTACAGCTTATAAACGGGTGGCAATGAGCGCGCGCTCCAGACGGATGGACGAACCGTTTTCATCCGGGGATTCATGCTGCAGTTCAGCTCAACCCCGGGGTGGAGGAACCCTGCGACTTTTTTCTGTCATTTATGAACAGATCTCGTCCCCTCTAGCAGAAGCTCATGAAATTCTGTTTTAAATGTAATTTCTAGAGTCTCAGAAGGAGAGGAAAATGCAAGGTCTCTCTCATCACTTCCTGGTCCCAATGAACTGGAAGATGAGATTTATTCTAGATTGTCAATCTCTGAACTGTGAGAAACAACACTCCATTATGCGTCCGAGCCGCCTTAACTCTGCTTTATCTGGACACCTGCTGCTGTTGAGCAGTTGTACAGACAGGTGGCAGCAGTGCAACTCAAGTGAATCGGTTGAGTGACATCAGCTGTTTTCCGTCAGCAGACCTACGTCACACATGCCAGTTTTTCACAGAGGCACACACATTTAACAAGCTGTGGGGCCGCTGTAGTTCTCCACACAGCAGCTCATTTAAATGTTTTTGGAGCGTCGCAGGGGCTCCTTGAATGTGACTCAACATTGTCCTTAAGCTGCAGAATCATCAGGGTTTTTTGATTCACACAGACAGCAAGTGACTGTTACATACATACTGGCAGGTGATGTATGTGTTTCAACCCATGTGCCACATTGTGAGACAGATGCTGTGTGGGCACACCCAATCTGCTCTCCCATTGGATTGGGTACATCTCATGTATTCCGAACAGGGGGCGGATGTGATGTCCAAGACGGTCCTTTGCGGCACGGGGACCTGGGACCTTCCTCCCAGAGCTATGGCTCAGACACGGCAGGAATCCTGCCAGCGCCTGTGGACGTGTAGCAACACGAGAGAACACTAAATGTCAATTATAATTATCGTGGAGCCACGGGACGATCCACCGCTGGGTGGTCTTGCCTGCTCACAGCCTGTGGTCGTAATGCTTTTTCACCTTCCTCTTTCCCTCTGATATCACGGTTTTCTGAACCGAGCTCAGGAGGAGGGACTGACAGCTCCTCTGCCCCAAGTGTGTGAACGCATCATGGTTCCCAGGCCTACGACATTTGTTATCAGGACACTCGTGGAACCTGCCGTGGAGGGAGGACGCTCTCCTCCAGGCGGGAGGAACGATCAGGAATTAATCAGAATAGGCCAGCACCTGTGGTTTGGCCGCTGTGCGGATCTTTTTGAGAGGATGGATCTCTCTCAAGATGTAGTGCGTACGATTCAGGATTCACGTGCTGCAACCACCACAGCGCTGTTCACATGAAGTGGTCAGTTTTTTCAACGCTGCTGTAC